GCACCCAGTGAGTTGTCTAGGGGCGGGGGTGAGGGCTCTGAGCCTGAGAGAGCCATGGTTGCCTGGTACTAGGACTTAATGAGGCCAAAAGGTGAGAAACCACGCTCAAGAGACTAGTCCTCACTCACGGGAAATAGACAAAGGGGGGAGGGGCTCACCAATCTTGCTAGTTTGGATGGAAGAACTCAGCCATCTGGAGAAACAAGGCTGTTTTATGTGGACCAGGTTCCAGGATCCTGGCATGCCTCAAACTGCCTGTGGACAGGCAAAGTGCCAGAAAGCCCTTTCTGGTCAGGGAACCAATGTTATAATTTAAAAAGCAGCGTGAGAGAGGAAGACACCATGTGACAGAACTCACGTTAAGGGGTTTTTTATTAGGGAAAAGGGAACATAAAAAGGGGGAAGGACAAAGTGGCTGACCTCTGGGGATAGGAGTAGCAGAAGAAGAAAGAGGAGAGAGACAGGCAGAGAAACACAGAGAGAGAGAGAGACAAAGACAGAGACAGAGAGAGACAGACAGATAGACAGACAGACAGATGGGAAGTGGGCAGGGCCCTTTTAAAAGGGAACATAGTGAATGTGCACAGGAGGTACACTCAGGTGGCTGCAGCTGAGGATGTATCCTATCAGGCCCCCAAGGGCAGGTCAGTACAAGATGCTGAATACTAACAATTACAGATTCCCTTCACACTCAAAGTTGGCCTCACTCAAAGTCACACATACTGCTGTGCCCCGGTAGAACTGTGTACAGAGTGTCTCTTTCTCCTAAGATCCCAGTGATAAAAGCATGACTGTATTGGGCTCACTAACAGAGCATGGGTGAAGGGTTACTGACAAGTGGGTAAGTGACCTCAAAGCAGCTGCACTGGAAAGCCTTTATCCGACATGGATGATGGCTTCCTTGTAACCACACAGATGAACCCCCTTCACCTAGGCTTCCCACGACCAATATATTCTGTCCTGCCTTAAGAGTCCTGTGCCATAAGCAATTATGGCAGCATTGCATATGAATGGCCAGACTCACAGGCAAGGGTCCAATGGTCCTTCCCTGCCTTTTACTTTTAGGTGGAAATTCAACAGTCTGTTGGCCAGGGGAGCTCCCAGCCTACTGAGCACCTCTGTAGCACTCGCTGTTCTCTGCATTGTGTCCTCATCTTCTCCTCTTCGCATCCTGCCCAACCCATTATTCACCTGTAAACTGTGGAAGGAAGATCTGGACTTTGTAAAATGCTAAATTCTAGCTCCTCTTAGAATCTAGGACCTAGACTATCCCAGGCATCTTGGTGTTGTTTAGTAAACATTGGGTGGATATATAGATGGGTACACTCACATAGAGGAAGATGGGGAGGAGACAGACGGATGGTGGGAGGATGAATGGAATGACCAATGGATGTATAAAGGAGATGAGTGGATGGGTGAGTGGATAGGAAGGGAAGGAGCCAGTAAGCTGTAATACTCCATTGTATGTCGCTTTGTATGTGCCAGACACTGTTCAATGAGTACTCGGGTAAGCCAAGCCCCTTGGACCATGGAGGCTCTATGGCCCACCATAAAGGCTCCAGAATTTTGCATCATGATTAATGCCCTAAGGTGCTGTTGCAAGAGCTGGAATACTATTCAGGAAAGCACCGTTACCTGGACAAGGGTTCAGGAAGGCTTCTCTGAGGAGAAGGGGCAAATCAAGGCAACATATGTCCCAGACAAGGCCCTGCACTGCATACAAGAAATCTGTTGGCCTCCAGACTGCCTGGATCCCCAGCAGATGAGAGCCTCACTGCCTATGTGATGCTCCTGCCACCACTTTGACTGATCAGAGAACTCCCTTTGCCACTATTGTTGGCCTAAGGTAATTGTCTTCTTCCCCTTCACTCTTCTTCCCCTTCAGCCAAGAGCATGTGAGTATCTCCTGGACAGTTAGGTGCTGAGTCCTGTTGGAGCAAATGTTCCTGACCCAGCCTGACTAGAAGGACGAGATACTTGTGCCGTGTACAAGAAAATGAGCAGCAAAGCAGGGTAGGGAGTGAGAAGGGCACGTCTGACTTGCTCACAGAGATGATGCAATAATAATCCCCCACTCCGGGTTACATCAGAACAGGTTAAGTGAAAATACCCTAAATGGATTGTGGTGGAGAATGTTGTACCAGCTGGGTATAGTGGCATACACCAGTCATTTCCAGAACTCAGGAAATGAGGTAGGAGAATTGCCAAGAGTTTGAAGCTAGCCTGAGCTACACAACAAATCTCTTTCTCCAAAAAGTATTGTGTCAAAAGTACCATTCCAACTAGTTGGGCTGTCGTGAAGCCACCACCAGGCAGCACTCACACTCATCTGTGTCCCATTGAGGCCATACTTTCCTTAAAGACATCCAAATATGAAAAAAGAACTTGGAACCTGCTGCACATTCCAGAACAATCTGGAAACCTTGATGCAGTCCAGACTCACCTGGCACCCTTCCTCTTCTAAATTTGCCTTTTCCCGTTTCTTTTTTACTCTGAAGAAAAATCCTCTGTTCTTACTGGTAAATGCCTCCTGTTCCTTCTCTTTCCTGTAAGTCACGGTGAGTTTGTATTTCATACCTTTCCAGAAGTCTGTTGATTGTGGTCTAACCTCAGAAGCATGGCTTCTGGGAAGGACATTAGCTCTTCTTCTGTGAGCTTTAGTGAGACCTCAGAAGCATGCACCAAGCTGTGGATGTGGGACAGAGGCTAGCAGCTCCCAGGTGCTGAGACAGGGTGCCAGCAGCTCCGTCCAGTTCACACTAGTGGCTTTTAAAAGATGACCCCAATGCCTTGGAAGCAGTTAGGGCTGGGTATGTGGTAAAGGCCAAGGCCCAGAGCCTGCAAGACACCATACCATGCTACCAGTGACAGTTTTCTAAGAAGTTCCTATGGACCAGCTGGCAATGCTTATCTGCACAGTGATGTGTGACATGTATAACTTCAGGAATGTACGGTTTATTTTTCTAAAGGGTTTGGGGATTCAGTCCATCAAGGGTAGGAGGGTGGCTCACCACATGACATTCAAGAAGCATAGAGAAATCATGCCTGGGCCAGGAAGATCACTTAGTGGGTAAAATTGCTACCAAGTTTGACGATCTAAGTTTGATCCTCAGAATCCACATGGTAGAAGAAAACTGATCCTTCAGTCATGCTGTGACATGTGCACATGTTTGTGTACATGTGTGCATTTAAACACATACAAATACATAAGTGTAAATGTACATATGTATAGAGAGAATGCCTTTACTGCGGGCTCCCCATCCTTTCCATCTGTACTCCCAGCCTATGTAGATTCAGGATACATATCCCCCTAATACTTAGTTCAGAAACATCACAGATACCCCCAGAGTACATCTTACTAATCTCTTAGGTACGTCTCATTCCTAACAAGACGAATCATCATATGAATATGAAACATCAAAGATCCATCCACTATCCAGTGTCAGCATCAGTGATAAGCTGAGAGCCCATGTCTGTCTGTCGCCCATCATGGCACAGAGTTTCTGGGTGTAGTAAAGCTGTTCACCTTGTGGTCACAGGGTGTTGTCACAAGAGAGCTGGGGAAGAGGAAAGAGACGGAACCTCCCCATCAGAGGCACATCTCACTTCCTCAGTCATTCCTCACCTCCTGTAGCCCACTCAGTTGTCAGTTCACTAATGGATTAATCCAGTGTTGGGGTGAGAGCCTTGTTTCCTATGAAGTCTGCCTCTGTCCATTGCTGCACTGCAGACCGAGCCTTCAGTATACAAGTCTGAGGGAGATACTTGATATTCATGCCCTAGTCTCCAAAGTCCTGCTGCGCTCGTTTCTGTCTATACTCAGCACTTGGCCTCCCCTGCAATGCTGTCCTCTCGCTGGGGATTGGCCATGAAAACACTATTGTCTCCCAAGATATGGAACAACTCAGATGATGAGCACAGGGCTGGCAGCTTGTGTAACCAGCAATGGGCCTCCACATCTGACAGGTGATATGCCCTGCACACAGGCCCCCAGGAGTCCCAGAAGAAGCCTCTGCTGCTCGCAGGAGGCAGGATGTGCTTCTGTCCAAAGAAGTGCTCTGGCAATTATTTATTAATTGAGAAAGGGAAGAAAAAAATAATAGGGTTTCCTGGAAAGGGATAAAAGTTCAATATGATAAACTCCCGAAAAGCAATCAAAGGCCAGAGAGGGCAGAAAAATAAAGGACAGAGAGAGTAGGGAGAGATGATGAATCAAAGTGGGGCATGTTAGCTGTCAGGGAAGGGGCCGTATTTCATAGCCATGGGTGCGGGGCAGCACTTCTGAGCTGCCAGTGAGAGCATGCCAGGGCTGCAGGGTGGGAACGCAGCTCACCCCACAGAGGTCACCAAGCTCTGAGATGAGCTGCCATGATAGGAACAGATGAACCATTCAGCTATTTCATGTGACTTCAGGCCCCATCATCTGTATTTCTGTGCTTTAATGAATGAACACATAAAATTACCTAGAAATTGCCATTACTGGCCGCTCTCTCCCAAGCACCCGTCACAAGAAAGGGTTGGAGACACTGCAGTTCGCTTTCTATCCCTGCCTTCTCGTTAATATCTCTCTCTCTCTCTCTCTCTCTCCCTATCTATCTATCTATCTATCTATCTATCTATCTATCTATCTCGTGTGTGTGTTGCCCATGAGGTTTTTAAAAGTATTAAAACAGAGGCTGGGGAGATGGTTTTGTGGGTAAAGAACTTGCTGTGCAACCATAAGGACCTGAGTTCAAATCCCTAGTACCTGTGTAAAAAGCTGGCATAGCGGCATATAAAACCTTAGCATTGGGAACAGCAGGAGTGGTAGCATAGACAAGAGGATCCCTAGAACTCACTGGCCAGCCATCAGTAAGAAATTCTGTCTCAAAAAATGAGACACAGAACATAGAGGAAGATACCCAGCATCAACCTCTGTCATACATACATGTATACATATCAATAACACATAAATACATATGCTCTACACACACACACACACACACACACACAAATTAGTACATTAGAAAGAACACTGCAATCTTTGACTGTTCTCTCCCGTGGCTGCTCTAGCCCTCCGCACCCCTTGCCCATGGTCTGACTGACCCCTCTCTAGATCCTTCTCTCTGTAACTGCATTATGTATGAGCATCCACAACTCAGGGCCATAAGTCTGTCTCTGCAGTTCTGAAATCTAAATAGCTCTGAAAACCAAATGTTTTTTTCTAACTCATTGGTAGCAAAACCAGCCCTGAACTATTTCTGAGCTTTCGGGAGGAATTGCTGTGAGTGCACATGCTTATTTCCTTTGGAAAGTTAATGTTTGGTTTCAACTGTCCAAAGCCCAGAAGTGGGCAAAACATAATTTGTATTGTATGCATTGCTTTTCTTTTTAATACCTAAAGATCATTATTTCCAGACATGTCTAGCCACACAGGCTCAGAGTGAGGAACCATGGACTGCCTTCATAAGTTTACATTACCGTCTGGTGTTCTGGCCCATCTTTGTAAGTCATGGAGTCACACTTCTGCATAACTTTCTACAGCTTGCTTTCCCTAGACATTGCTATGAATTAGAAATCTGTGTTGTTGTTTACTATGGCTGTGAGTATTCCACAGCAGATGTTTGGTCTTTTTATCCAAGCATTTCAGTGACCCCAGGTTTTCACTGCCCAGGGCCACGGTGAGCACCATTAAGCACACTGATGTACTGATGTGTGTGTATTCTCTCCAAGAAGCAGAACTCCTGGGGTAGAGTGGGGTTGCAGAATCTTACTGTGTAGCCTAGAACTCTTTATGTAGATTAGATCAGGCCGGCCTTGAACTCACAGAGATCTGCCTGCCCCTGACTGAAAATGCTGAAATTAAAGGTGTATGCCACCACACCCAGCACAAGCTGAATTTGACAGTGTTTAAACAGTGCTGTGGCTCTTGTGCTATGAAGTCTTCTCCTTAACTTCATCTTTAACAGTTGCCCAGCACCCTGTTGCCTTTGTTTCCTGAGGCGGCTGTAACAGAATATTCTGAACTGGGTGGCTTCAGCAACACGTGCATACTGTCTCACAGTTCTGAAGCCCAGAAGTTCAAGGTCAATGAGTGGGTAGGCTTGGCTCTTACCTAGTGAGCAGTGAAGAGAACCTGCTTCGGGCCTCTCCCTGGCTTCTGGAGACTACTGGTGGCCCTTGGTCACCTGTCATCCGCTGTGGCACGTGTCCCTGTGTACTGGTGACACAGCTTTTCCCTGATATGACAGAATGCTAGATGGAATCATACTAAGGAGAAAAACTCTATCATGACTCCTGAATTTAGGGGTCTCTGTCCATAGTCACCTAGCTCCATTGCTTCAGGTCTGTGATAAGGCAAGAGCATTGTGGCAGAAGGACATAGTGGAAAACAGTTGCTCATCTCCTGTCAGCTACAGAGCAGGGACCAAGGACAAAGTGCTACTAGACCACACCCACAATGACCTACTTCCTTAAGCTAGGCTCTTAGTTTCCACCCAGGCCCTGCTAAAACCATCCAATCATGAATCCATCAATGGGCTCATCCATTGAAAGACCAAAGCTCTCACCATCTAGTCTCTCTGCACACTGTATTAGGGACTGTACCTGCAAGACAGACATTTCAGAGGGAGTCCATTGTAGTGACTATCACCAGGTCCAGACCTTTACCTTTGCTTTTTAACAGATACAATTAGACTGGATTCCTGCACATCCCAAGGACTTCATCTTAGCCAGCTCCATCTGCAGAATGACCCTTTTTGCAAATAAGATCCCATTCTGAGGACCCAGAGGTCAGAACTTCAGCCTGAGAATTTGGAAGGAGGCAGAGTTCAGTTTTAACCATCTAGATCAGCCAAAATGTACTGAGTCTCCTCACAGTGGTACCTGGGTGGTTTCTGCTGTTCAACAAGTCACATCACAATGATCCATGCTTCTAGGTACCCCACTAGGAGTCATTCCCTAGTGCTAAGTCAATGGGCCCACCTGGGGTTCTCATTCACCCAGCTCTTCAGACGGGCCACCAAAACAAGGCCCCTTCACATGCTTGTGCATATTTGCCAGCCCGGGTCCAGGAGAGCCTTCTGTCATGCCTCATTTTTATTTTCCTTCTCTTTTCTGCCAAGGAAGAGAGTCCACAGGTTAATAGCAAACTAGAAGCCCTTGATGCGAATGTCTGTGTAGGGCATGTTCTCTTGCAGATGAAGAGACAAATAGAAATTTCAGAAATATAGGGGCCTTTGCACACCAGACATTAAATCCATCAGTGAAATCTCAGTTCTGGGGCAGTGCCAGGACCTTGAGAAAGCATTTTCTGATTTAGTTGAGGCTGAAGAAGCCCATGTCAGAGAAGGGCAGCTAGAGAACAAGCTGCCAGCTCTCTGAGGCAGGAACTCTCCAGAGCCCCTCAGATTTTGAAGAATTTTTTAGAATAGGAGCTTTTCAGACTGTATTCTAGGAGCTAAGATTGGAAAACAGCCTGGGAAGACACAGCTTAATCAGAGATGGAGGCCTAAAGAAGCCTGTCAGGGAGCCAGAGGGCTGGCTGTACATGGGAAACAAAGGCTGGGTGGGTGCTTGAGTCCTCGGTCAGGGAGTCAGTGTTGGCCACACTTAGCACAGGGGGCTCAGTGGAGAGATAGGGCAGGATGCAAGGAAGGATAAATATAGCCCTTAGCAGGGGAAACACCACCCTCAAATGTAGTGCTGCAGTGGAAACCTTAGCCTGGCCATCTAGGACAAATCCCGTGAAGGAATAGAAGCCAAGAGAAAGGAATACTGGTAACCAGCCATCCTGCTAATCCAGGTCCAGGAGGAGCCTTCCTACCCTGCCCCTCCGCTGCCCAGGAATGGTGCTGCCTTGTTCTACAGAAAGATGTTAGATCTCTGTTCTCATAGTTGCGTCTTCAGGAGTAGTGACCCAAACCCAGCGTGGATGTTCCTGATGACTGACCTGGGTCCCTAATATCTGCCAGCTCCTTCCCAGTTGTCTGGTAACAGCAGAGGACATTTTGTGGCTCCAGGTTCTTTTCTCTCAACCAAAGCACTTGTTTTCATGTCACACCCTGACATGACTTTTACCTAGTCAGGGCTGGGGGTCTATGGGGTCCCAGATGATGGAGCACCTGTCACCATGACATCTCCAAGACCAATTGGTCTGCTGATGGCAGCTTCCCTCTGCCACTGCTCCTTGTGTAAAAGGGGAAAATGTCTATCCTGTCAATATTTGGGGCACTAATCACCTGTGTTCAGGCACCAGAGGTCAGGAAGAGGTCGAGACAGTTCCAGGAATCCAAGACTCTAAAAATGTGGGCCTGACTGGAAAGGATTTCCAGAGAGGGGAATGAAAGAAAGAACCCCAAATCTCCACCCCTTCCCAGCCCCTGGGCACTGGCCACTGCATCTTGGATTCTTGGGAAGAAATGAAGTCAGTGCACCCAGCTATGCAGGTCCCGGTTAATAATGAATGCGGAGGAAGGAGAGAGGATGTTCAATATTTAAACAGTGCAGAGCACTAGCTGCCTTGCCAGTTACTGCCCTCCGCATGCTTCCTGAATGGCTTCTGTAAATCTGAGCTCTACCCCAACTCATTGCTGGCCTCTGCCACCAGCTTATGTGAGTAGGGCACAGTAGCTTTGGGGTACTCTAGTCAACAAGATTTCTGTTGCTTTTTGTGAAAGATGGGGATAAGGTCTGTGGTGTCCAGCCTGTGTGTTTAGGGCTCCTGTTCAAGCTGTGTGGATCCCTCACACTCCTTCTCTTGGTGCTGTCTGTGTCTCATCTGTGTTGGGCTTTGGTGGCCTAACTGATGAGGAAGGTTTTACAGGGTAAAGTGGACCTGGTTTAAGAGCCATCTCCTCAAGTCCATAAACTGACTATCTGCCTTCAAAGTTGCATGTAATGCAGAATTCTGTGAATCAATTCCTCCTTTCTTCTTGACACATGTTATATCAAAGGCAAAAGCATCCTTTTGGGGGGAGGAGAAAAGAAAACATTTGGCCTGAGACATAATAAAATCATGCTTAAGGATGCAACAAACTTGAAGTCTCTTAGTTAAAGGAAATCAATACTTTTATGATGAAATATTAATCATCCTTTAAAAAATAAGTCAAAACTAGAGATGCACAAGAGCCAGAGTGATCTTAATGCCTCAGGCATTAGCTTAGTGTTTGCGAGGAAGCACAGCAAGCAGAGCCCACTGGAGCCTCTCTGAGCCCCTCCCAGCCTCATGAGCCACTTGTGGATTTCATTCAGAAGCACACATATCTCTCCCTGACATGCCAAAGTTACTTCCAAGCATTTCCAAACTGCTGATTTGGGGAAACGAGGAAGAGAGGAGTCTGCAGAGGTGTGCATACATGTGTGCTGCTGACAGCAGGGACGAGGAGAGCGGAGAATTAGAGATAGTACTTGTCCACATACCTACCACCTGTCCCTCCCTCCTTTGGACCAACATTAATTATTCCAGTAGTCCTTTTAGTAGGTGTTGAACCATGTTTGACTGTTTGAAACCAGGTCAAACTGGTTGAATTTTGAGTTTCATATGTTTAAACCTATTACAGACAACTCTGTCAGATATGCAGAAACAGTCCTGAGTGTGTTGAAAGCAGTGAAGCTGGCATTTACATATCTGTGTCGAGATAACAAGAACTCCATGTTCTCACTGGTGACTTTGATATAAATACTTAAGTCAAACTGGGCATGGTAGTGCACTCCTGTAATCCCAGCACTTGGAAAGCAAAGGCTAAAGGATCACTGTTAGTTTGGAGCTAACCTGTCTTTATAAAAAGAAAAAAATCTGTTAGCCTTAGGCAATTAAAGTTACTTTAGGACAGCTGCCAAGTCTCGGTCATATGGTGACAAAAGGAAGGCTTCACTCTTGTGTGGCTTTGCATTATCAAAAGATGTAAATCATTTCTCCTGCCACATACCTTGCATCTAAGTCACTAAGTCTTGCCTCACTGAAACCAAGTTCCAGATCAGCAGTCAAAATGCAAGCACCTGGACTCTTAACCTACACTCCTCTTTCTTCCTCTTCCGTCCCATGGGGTGGAATAACTTGATATTGATAAAAGAAAAAAAAAAAACTTGCTCTCACATGCTTTCAGGGCAAGCAAGTTCTCTATGGTCACATCACCCAGGAGCAGCCCAAGCCCTGGGAATGCTCCTCTTCCCTTGTGCCTGTTTCTGTGTACCTGAATTTCTGCTTTTCTTGGGACTTTTCCCTTTGCAGATGACAGAAACTGACCATCTGACTGGTCACGTCTCATGGGGCTGCAGAACAGAAGCTGACAAAGCCCTGTCCAGTGAGCAACTTTGGGCTTCTGAAGCATGTTCTGGGCTAGTGCCTGACTCAGCACACTCCCTGATCCCATCTAACACCCAGCATGCAGATAGCATCTTTGATTCTTTCAGTAGTAAAGTGTAAGGCAACATTGCCCTCTGTGAATCTGGCCTGACCCCAGTCAGTTAGCACAGTCAGTTAAGAGAAGAGGCTTTGGTGACAAGGAAGGCACTGCAGGAACAACTGCCCTGCTCCGTCAGCTCAGATAGAAATGAACCCCAGGCACATGGCTGTCTGCCCTGGGGGAGTAGTAAATACATGTCAATACCACACCTTTTACAGAAGGTTCACAATGAATTTCTGACCCCTTTATATACCACCACCTTGTGGAATGCTCAGGACTGGGGCATCCACATTATGAGACATACCCCACAAGCCTGCCCTGCTTCTGGTCTGGGAGGATAGAGCAGGACTGATAAGAGACTTCTTAGCAAACCAGGTACTCCTGGCTCATCACAGGCTCTGGGGACATCCTTGTCAGGGAGGCCTTTAGCAAGTCTACCTGGGTTGGGAATCCCCTGTGCCTAGAGATGCCCCATAGCTATCTAACAGCCTCCCCTCTCCCTGCTCTTTCAGCCTTGTCCACTGCTTCAGAGTACAGGCAGCCAAGAGGGCCGCTGGTGAGCTTTCTATTGCCTTGGCTGAGAGACTGTTGTGGAGCTCTGTGCTCTCTCATGTATACACGGTAATGCCATCTGAAGTGGGCAGGGGCTGGGAGAGGCAAATGCCCAGGCATCCTGGGGAGAAAGCCCATGCCCTGGTGCCCCTAATTTGAATAATCCAAAGGCAGAATAATCCACAGAGTGCCTCTCAATAACCAGTTCCCCGGGTCCACATGGCAGCCAGCCTTCCATGACAGGTGGTCCTGCCCAAGGCAGGAAGGACTACCTGCACTCCTGACATGCACACAGGTCAGGTCCCCCAACAACAAAAGGGACACCTAGTCCTTGGGTGCTCCATGGGTGGTAGCCCACACAGCCAGGTCCTCACCTGACAGCAGGGTTGAGCTGGAACCAAATGGCACAGTGAGAAAGTAGGACACTGAAAACATTTTCTCTTTTCTGCAGGTTTTCTCGCATAACCCTTAAAATCCAAGAGGATTTTTCCATGGATAAAGAGCTATAGGCTATCAGATTCTGCAAGTTCCCAGATATTTTTGTATGTTATCCCTTTAAAACCAACCAGAAATAAAAGTCTTTAAGTGTTTGGAGGTCAGAGGTCACCTTTAACAGTCAGCATGGAGTCGCCTGTGGCCAGGGCAGAAAACAGACAGCGGCTGCTGCTGGAGAGTGTCCCCTCCCCTGGTTTACTTATCTGCCACCCCTCCATCCCTGGTGCAGGACAGAAAGTTTTTTGGTAATGGACACAGGGAGCAAATCAAAAAGCGGTACTTGAGTGTGAAGACCCTAAGATGATCCCAGAGTTCACAGCTCTGAAATACTGCATCTTTAGACCCACTAAAGAGAGGCAGGAAGTGTCGGCAAGGGGTATGACTGCCTGGGACCCAAGCCACAGGGTGCCCACATGTCAGTAGACCTGCATTTCTCTGTGTGCTTCTAAGGTGCTCTAGCCAAGTACTTAGGTCTCTAGTTGGTCCCTTGTTTGTCTATTTTTGTTTATGTGTGGAAGGAAGAGTGAGTACCACATGTGTGTGTGTTCACAGAAGCCAAAACTGCTAGATCCCCTAGAGCTGAAGATATAGGTAGCTATGGCCTCTAGTCCTAAGTGCTGGGAACCAAACTCAATCCTCTGGAGGAACATTACTCACTCTTAACAACTGAACTGGCTGTCTGTCTAACCCGTTTTGTTTTTGTTTTATTCGTTGTGTGACAGGAGATAGTATGTGTGTAGATGTGTATGAGAGTGCATGCTAAGGAGCCAGCCAGCAGGGAGAACACTGGGTGATCTGCTGAATCCCTCTCCACTCACCGTATGTCCTTGAAACAGGCTGCCTCACTGAGACTGGAACAAGGCTGTCGCCAGCAAGTGATCGTTCTGTCTCTGACCTCCTCAGCAATGGGGATACAGGTACAAATGCAGCCACACCCAGCTCTTTATGTGGATGTGGGGATTTGAACTCAGGTCCTCATGCTGTGATGTTATACAGCAAACATTTTTACACATGAGCTATCTCTCTAACCCCTGTGAACTTTTAAATGTGTTTAGGTGTTTTTCCTGAATGTATGTCTGGTGTCTAGGAAGGCCAAAGGGTGGTGTCAGATTCCCTTGAATTTGAGTTACATGTTTTGTGAGCCACCATGTGAGTGCTGAAAATTAAACCTAGGTCTTTTGGAAAAGCAGGCAGCCAGTGTCCTTCAATCATTCAGCCATCTTGTGGGCTTTTTTAACAGTGTTGGTGGCATCTTTCTAAGCTGCTTTTCTGGTCCCTAGTCTCTCAACGTCCACCTTCATCTTACCCAAGAGTGAGTGAGAAAGTTCCATGTCACCCAGACCTTGTAAGCAGCGTCAGTTCAGAGTCACAGCAGACCGGAGTCCTAAAGTGTCATATCTCTACCCATTTCACCCAAGGGACCTGGCAGACAGCAGCCGAGGTGAAAGGGTAGGGTCAAGGAAAGAGCCAGCAAGGACCATGCCACACTGGCTGTCCTAACATTTTTGCAGGAGGTCATAGGACTGATTGATTTCTTTTCTTTTCTTTTCTTTTTTTAACTGTTTCCCAGCATCTCGGTGTGTGGTGAGAAAATCTGAATTCTGCCTGGCCAGGAGCCTGAGCCATGGCCTCTGAGTAAATCTGCTAATGAAAGGCAAGCTCAGGAGCCTGTGGTCCTCAGCTCCCTATTCACAATGGAGGCCCTGGCAGGTCTGTGCTTCCTCACCTGGAGCCTCATGGATAAGATGGCTGGCTGTGGGGAAGGCAGGTCTTAGAATTTCTCCCTCTCAGAGGACCCAGCCGAGCACCTCTGTCCCAGGCTGAGCTCTTCGCCGTGCTCCACACTCACATAATGCTTATCCCAGGAGCTGTTACAGGGCATCTCCACAGGTGACATCTCAGACTTATGATGGGGCTGATGACAGAGCTTGTGCCCAGACAAGTGGCAAGCTGGCTTTGCCCCCACTTAGGTAGGCCACTCCTTGTTTTTCAAAAAGACCGTGAGGAATGGGGTGGTTCTAGCCTGGCATTCACAAAACCCTGCCTTCTGTCCCCACACCACTTAAGCCTGTCATGGTGGAGCATACATATAATCTCAGAACTCTGGGTAGAAGCAGAAGAATCAGAAGTTCAAGGCCACCCTGGACTGCATAGCAAGTTACAGGCCACCCCAAGGGAGACCCTGTTTCCAAAAAAAAAAAAAAAAAAAAAAAGGAGGGAGGGAAAGGAAAAAAAAAAACTGAGTCTTGATTTCCATGCTTAAAACTTCAGGCAGTGGGTAGTTTACATAAATCCAGATACCCATCTTCTTTTTAAGAATTGAAAATGTACACACCCTAAATCAGACTGTGTTCTTAGATTGTGGGTCCCTGATATCTCCCAGGGCCCAGGTTGTCAAATCATGTTTTCCTGACAGAACAGAAGGGCTTCTTAGCCTCCAGATCTCTATAGGGTCAGGGAAGGCTCTTGGCCCCTCCCGCCCCCTTCACTTGTGTTGTCAGCCAGCCTTGTAGGGTGTGTGATCTCTACACGTGGACTGCAGAAAAATCTGGAAAGAAGCAGGGAAGCCCCTCTCCGGCGAGGCTCTGCACCAGCTGAGCACTTCCTTTTTCAGCTTTTGTAGAGACCAGCGTTCCACTGCTTAGAAAAGGAAGCTACCTTCTGAAGGCAAGCAGCTGAGTGTTCTCTGCTGCTGCTTTCAGGGCCGTGCCCAGGAAGAGTTCTAGGGATGTAGGCTGCTCGGTGATGGTGGGTCCCAGGAGTTCCACCATACTGTGGTTTTCCCCCAAGCTGGAACTCCTGGGAAGCTCAAGGCAAACGCTGACATCAGCGTGCTGGGACAGAAGTCTACCTGCTGTCACTTTCACTTGGCCTAGTACCCGCTGCTTTGTCGTAGGGCTTGTCTCTCCAGTGATAGGCCGGACCCATCTGGAAGCAGTGAGGCTCCGGTGGTCAGCAGGGTGTAGCCCATGTTGCACAGAGTAAGGGACCCTTGGAGTGACTCCTGAGCTGAGCAGGCCCCACACTTGCCTTTCTGAGAGGCCTGTGGAATCCCCTACACAGAGAGTCAAGCCAGTTCCACAACTCCAAAAGGGCAAGTGCCTGGGAGCCTGGACAGTGACATTTCAGTCAAGTACATAGGTCTGGGCGGATCCCAGATACCAGTGGCCCTGCTTTCTTGTAATATTAGAAAAACTCCAGCGCACCCACCCCAGCCCCCCAGTGTCCCTATCTGCACACTGTGCAGTCTCTCGCGGCCCTCAGTTTCAGGTCTTAGCCCAATTTTAAAACCTGAGTTCTGGTGTGAGCTCAGAAAGAAAGTCCCTTCACTGGATTCTACCAAAGCCTCCACTCCACCATGGGAAGAAGAGAATATTTCCTGAAGATCTGAGTCCACAGGCAGGATCACCTGCCCCCTCCTCTTTTCCTTAATCTCACCATGTCCAGACCCCTATACTCCACCATTACCACTAGCCCCATAGGCTCTTGGCAGTGTGACCAGGATTAACCAGGCATTCCCCACAATGTTGTCAGATAAGATTTGCTTCAGCTACATAGGAAGTGCTAGAAGAGAGGTTTATATTGCCCCCAGGTAAAAGCATCATGGGTAAGTGGGGTCTCCATGAAGCATCAGGGACCCAAGCTCCTCCATGCTCAGTGTTCTTTCCTCCCTCGTATACAGTTCCCCCCCCCCCATACAGAGTCCAGGATGATTGCTGGATTTCTGGCTATCACATCCGTGTTCCAGGAAGCAGAATAGAGGATGTACCCTCTTTCCTGTTGAAGAGGCTTCTTGGAAATCCCACATGCCACTTTGATGTCTGTCTCATGGCCACAACTCAGTCACATGGCCATGCCTAGTGGCCAGGTTCTGTAACTGCAGGTGAAAGGAGAAAATTAATAATAGGAAGTAACTAGCAATGTCAGAAACATATTCAGCACCTCCTGAGCCCAGAAAATGTCAGGTGCTAGCAGCTAAAGTGATGAAAGTCATTACAGAATATTGGGCATCTTAGCAGTCAAGTCTCTCACGCACTGCCTGAATAGGACAGGTCCTGGGTGCAGAGAGAGGACTTCTGCCCGACCTGGCAGCCAGCACATACGCTCTGAAGGGCCAGGAAGGAACTTGTGCAGACAGAAAGGAGGCAACAGAGAACTGGAGTTCATAAGAATGGCCCGGCAAATGCAGAGGACTGCAGGCTATCCTGAACTGCTGGACAGAGGACTATAGGCTGGCCTGGGCTGCTGAAAGAGAGGCTCTGTTTCTACCCGATTGGTCTGTGATTCAGAGTGTCTCTGTGGGTTAAAACTCCCTGTGGACTTGTCTAGGAATCTACGAATGGGGACAGAAATGAAATTGAACTGCCACAGCACAGTCAGGGCAGATCAGAAAGGAGTGGGCAGATCTGTCACCACACTCTGGTTCTAGCTGTGTCAGGACAAGACCCAGCAATGCTTGATCCTTATTGTACACTAGTACAATAAGCAAACACAGATGAGATATAAGGTAGAGAATGCCCTGTCAACCACCATCACTAGTCAGGTTCTGAAATCTCATGGACCTGGTTATTAAAAGTGAGAGCTCAAAGCAGAAAGTGGAGGAAGGGACTCATTTGTCTCAAAGCCAAAGTGGGCAGATCTTGGGCTCAAACCTGGGATTCTGATTCCACGCACAGTATTCCCTCTGTTACTGAGCCTAAAATAGAAGGCTGACCTTTTGGTGGTAATTTTGTTCTTGACAAATGCCAGAGAGCTGTTCATTAGTTTACATTCCCAGAATCATGGCAGAATGGAGCAGAGGAAGACAGGAAGGCTCCAGGCACCCCATGCAGCTCAGGGATTCTGCAAAGCGAGGGGATGTCTTACTATTGGCATGGGTTCATCTTCCTGGTCCTGCTCTGCGAAAGCTTGTCCGGGTCCCAAGAACTCACAGGGAGGGAGCCCTGGGAGACCAGAGTGGCTCATAGTGGGTGGTACTTCTAGGCCTGAGTGTGCTCAGCTCCCAGGTAACTTACTTTTCCTCTACTTGCTTCTTTCCTGATTTGAAATAATATTCATAGGGCTGAGGATGTATATGCTCAGAACCTAGCATGCT